GAAAAACAATGCCAGCATGCCGAGTCCAACGTGACCTTTCAGTTGTCATCCAGTTCCGGCCGAATGGCGCACGCATTCTCGTACTCATTGCGGATCACTGCCATGTAAGTCTGTAGAAAAGACAGAAAAAGGATAACGCGTCATTCTTTCACATGACAATGCATACAGTGGGTGGTAGTTATGGTTAACTATCCAATCGGTAAGTGCATTCCAGTCTGAGAAAATTATCTGTATGATCGGAGACGAGAGGAAAATTTAATTCCTGCAAGTGACGTGAGCATACACGTTTGGACAAGTTTGCCCAGGACAGCGACGGGAAAAGGCAGCATTCCAGTTCGTACATGTGTAGACGTGAACTCACGTGCTTAATCCGACTGTCAGCCATGTCACTGAGGATGTGAACCAACTCAGTAAACGTCGGCCTGGCGTCTGGTTCCTCCTCCCAACACTCGCGCATCAGTGCATAGCTACACACAAGAAGCAGGAAACAAGACAGAGAGAATTTTGGTCTCCTCCTGGCATTCTACGTCACCAACAGTTAGACCTAATGCGACAATCAATCAAGTAAAGATCGCTTGGTAGCAAAGGTGTACTTAACAAAAACGTCAAAAATCTTTGTCAGTTTGTATTCGTGATTACATGTATTTATAAAATGCATTCATAGCAAAAGTGAGGTGAAGCGTGCATCCAGTAAGGGTGGGGGGGGACTTAGCACTTCCTCTCCCGTTGTATACGCCTCTTAATACATCCTTTTGTTTTGCTTCTAGGAATTACAGCTTTTATGATCCATGATGCCCGTAGTTTTTGTATTTGGCTTCCTTAACGTCACAGCAAATTCCTGGTACCCTTTTGCAACTTTAAATGGTGATGATTAAAAATAGATTCGGATGCAGCCTTTAAACTTTCGTGTAGGCTGCGTAGCGCCCTCACTGAGATGATCACAGTGGCTCTCAGCTTCATCATGGAAGACATTTTGGCTCATCTATACTAGTATTTCTGTGCTCTGAATGTATATGAATTCTCACATGTGGTCGTGACAGTTGTCTGGCTGGGGCATGCGGTACCCTCGTTTGATTGTCTCTGCCAGCGAGTCGTTCGAAATGGACGGATACGGCGTCCCACCTTGACAAAAAAGTGGCAATTCACTAATGAGTATTATTATGCAACACAATCTGATCGATATCAGACCAGAGGTCACTGTAGGAAAGGACATTTACTGGCTGCCAGCAAATTTTGGACTGAGGCAGTAAATTCCTGTTCATTACGTCTACATAATTACGAAACAGCCTATTCCGTCGAATGACAATGGAAATTGTCCCTTCATTAATAAGAAAGATATGATCAGAGGGATTAGTATACAGTACAGTCATAGTCTTTGTTCATACAGAAAAGGCTCGTACTTCAACTATGAGTTGTGAGTGGATACTTGTGACTGAATTATGTGGCTTTGTAATTACCAAGCAATAACGTCTTGAATCAAACCTATTTGGGCATTCATATTGGCAGGATTACGACCACGTGGCATCGTTTGGACGGTGGTTAGATACGACGTGATCTCTTTTTACCTGTCTACTCGAATTCTTCAAGATGCAGCAACACAGCCAGTTAAGTTAAGGTTCGCGTCCTCGCCCATCCGAATTAAAGAATGTCCACCTTTTGAGTCGTTTCTCCCACTTAGACCACGACCCTCCCTCCACTATTGTTCATATTGTACAAAAAAAACAACGGGATTTTACTGGTGCTTTGAGATGAATCTATCATTTGTCCAGCGTTGGCTGGCTATGTATATTTGCATGTACATGAAAGCTACATTCCTGTCGAAATTAAGCCATTGAGTAACTCCTCGGCTGGATGCGCGACTATTTTTCATTCACAGGCACAGTACATGCTTCACACGAAGTTACACACAGACATGCAGTCGACACCATCAGTGTATGGCACGGTCCGTGGATTTATATCTGTATGCTAGTTGCAGAAATACGCTAAATTTAAGTTAGCAAAGACAATCGATATGACTGTACGGAGCTGGGGACCTTTTACACCGCCAACAAGGAAGTTTCTAGAGTGACCGAATTGAGAACTACAGTTTACTGTCTCTTCAATGGAGATTACATTTACAACCTTGGACGTACATGCTTGCTCTTTTAAATCGACCAGTCACCAAAGGAAATTCTTCCGTTTGGAAAATACATGCATTTGGAATACCATCTCATTCATCTGGGAAGCATCATACGTAAGTTTCTAAACGATTAATCTGTTTTGCAAAATTGTACATGAATTGTGATTGCAGAAGTTGTTTTTAAAAGTTGTTTAATAACAGAGAAGAAAGTAAAACTGAGGTTTAACCGAAAGTAAAGTTGCTAGGCCCCCTATAGTGAATTTTAAAATAAACACGCAAAGAAAAAGGATAAAATAATAAAAGTTATACGTTGCCATTACAATAGACAAACATTAAAATAAAAAAAAATGAAATAAAACTAAAATGGGAGGGATTTTTTAAAAATGAAACTAAATTTCAAAACGTATGTAAAAATAAAGGAGACACATCAAAAACATTATATAGTGCAACGTGAGGAGTGGTTCGCTATAATTGAACATCGCTAATCTCAACAGAAAACATTACAGCGTCAAATCTAAAAATGTGAGTGTTAATTGTATTGAACGTCTAAAACAATCCGCTTTATTGTTGAGAGCATTTCTTACGGTGTTTGACGTTGCAATTTAATGTCAAAAGTGCTTTTTCTTTGTGTATCAAGTCGCTTTTGAAGAATATCCACACTACATTCTTAAAAACTACATTCTTTTGATGAATGTATCGTTAACATTCTTAAGAATAAGGCCCCCCCAAATAAAGACACGGGTTTCTGGTGACGGGCATGGTCCAGAGGTGGTGCGGTGACGCGTTTTTTCCTCCCTCTTTTTTTCCTAGGAAGTGATGTACATGCACATGTACTTTAGATCGCGCGGCCTTGTTACTATGAGACGTGTGAATTAACAACTTTGAACGAATAAAAAGTCCATAAAATATGACGAGAGGCGATGGTTTCAGTCATCTCACTCAACCAAGAGGCTTCTATTCTTGGTATGACTGAGTTTGTTAAAATACAGGAGCACAACTACGGAATTATTAAAATTTAAAAATAAATGTTCAGCTCCAGTTTCCGGTTTGAAATGAAATTCTCAAGAGGTAGCAATATGTGACCGTTCTTTGCACATTGTTTGCTGCTTTAGCTTAGAGGAAGTAAGTTGCACGTCAAATAGCCTATGAAAAAAAATCAAATGAAAACAGTTCAGGTCCAGAGTCAAAATGAAAATAAAATACTCATGAGGTAAATGATATACTGTGCACATCGTTTTCTGTTTTAGCTTATAAGAAACAAGCTGCATTTAACATATTGGGTAAGAAATTCAGTTCAGAAAATAAAATCTCCTCCCACTCTAATCTACCTTTGTTCTTAGCAAGTGAAGATCAACGATGCGTGACTTGTTACAATTTAACAACTCGGCATTTTAACTTACCTGTGTGGTTGTCATAACGCGATACGTGTCCATCACTACTGCATGCACTGCATGCGTATGTACCCCCTCTGCCTCTTTGACACTGAAATAGACTGGCCCCTCTTGGTTTGTTGCTCGAAAGTGTTTTCAATTTATATACATACGCAGGACTCAAGACCACTTCGTTTGTCTGGTTCACAGACGTACGTGGGCCCGGGTACGAATCAATTGGCTACGGCCGGAGATTACATGTACATCGAGTATTTGGCCGCATCCACGGCTGGTTCCCAGAGAATCAGGCATGATATCAAGCCGCAGCCGCAGCCTTCGTGTAAAGATACACGAATGACGTCATCTGACGGAGTGCCCGACTGAAATGTGTGGAGGCCTTAGGGGACTCCTTTACCGTACATATTACTCAACTCCACCCATCAAAAACACGTTAAAATTACGCAGTACCAGAATTCCTGTCAATCAAGTAAGTTTTGGCAGCTTTTGTTAGGAAATCGATTTATGCAAAATAAAAAAGTCTTCTGCCGACGCGTGGGTCTACGGCGACGCGCGCGGTGACCAGAAACCGGAGACTTTTTTGGCCTAATCGACACTTTACCGAATAGGGTGACGTCACCAGAGTGGTTTAATAAAAGTTTCGAGTTCAGGTGTCCCATTCCAACGACAACAAGGACACTAATTAAACTGACAAAACTCTTACACAATTCCAGAACGGACGTGAACAAAAAAGTCCCTTTTTTGCACTCACCAAATGTTGCTATTTCCCAAAGGAGGATTCCAAACGACCACCTTCATCATATACATGTACAGACAATTGAGAAATGTCTTCGGTTAACATACAGCAACTGCATTTCTAGTGTTATATAGAATGAAAAACAAAGATTATCGCGATGACACATAAGTCCTATTCCGCATAAGTCAGCAGCAAGGAAGACAAACCTCGTATTAAGATTCACAGAAACTGAGAGAAAATCACACTCACAAGAGACAGTTCCCAGCATGTGATAAACACACACGGAACAAACATTTTGAAAGTTTACAATTCATAAGGTTGAGAGCCAAAAAATCCTATCTCTTGACTCCGCCGCCGAAATACATCTTTCTTGCCGTGACGTCACAGGCAAAATAGCACATCCCCGAAATGGGTTAAAGTTGTGAATTCATGCGTAATTCTTATCGACGCTTCTTTGGTTCTGGATCATGTCGGATACATTTTGTCAGGAATGTCTGTCCAGATTTTGTCTGAAAACAACTTATCGTGATGCTTAAGCCAATCTGAATTAGATAATAGAACGGCTTTCAAACTTACACATCGCTCTGTGAGGTGTACAGTTGGTTCCTTAACGATTCGATGGCCAACCAGCGAAGTGGTACTCGTCTCTGTCAAATTAACCGGGGGGGTTGAGATTTTTTGGCCCTATAACCATTATACATGCATTTGTCTAGATCTCTCCTCGCTCCTAAAGAAGGACAGTTTGCATGCCGAGGGAAGAAACAACGTTTCCACAAATATTGTGGATATAAAAGCAGTTAAATTCTCAAAAGATTCCCTTCTTTCAATTTTTCTCAATCAGGAATATTCCAATATTTACGCACATTAAAAAATACTTAATGTTTGCATGTTAAAAATCTATTTTCCCTTTACATGACGCATACGTTTTTTTGTCAATAAAATGAGGAATGGGCTTTTCCCCCTTTATTCTCTTTACCTAGGTGTCATCAAATCACACCACACGTCTGTTCAACATATGCGAGGAATGTGAACAGATCCAGGACCGCGATCGGAAAATTCTTGGAATAAAGGGATACAAGACACCTCGCTCTCTTCCCGTTGTCGGAGTTTTGTTACATAAAATAATAACGAACAGTTCGTGGTGACATTGCCAATTTAGTGAAGCAGGAAGCAATATCACACACACACAACCTAAAAGCACAAAAATAAAGGTGTTAAGAAGCTCCGACCGTTAGCATCACCAGGATTTTTTATCTGGGGGAGGGTTTTTTTTTCCATGGGGGAGGGAGCCACTTATCAGTGGGAAGGGTCAGTGTTGATACTTTTTAAAACAAGTTGGTGATTTTCATTCTCTTTGTTTTTAATCTCATTTCTTTCGCTTTTGTCCCCTTTTCATTTTCAATTTTTTCCCAGGGCAAGCGCCCCCTCCCATGCTGCCAATGGCTCTGACTTTTAACAAACATTCAAGGTTGAATAAACATACCCTTGAAGTCTGAACGTAAATGTCCTCCCCTCGGGAAAGTCCAAAGTCGGAAACCTTGGCAATCAGTCTGTCCCCAAGCAGGATATTTCTCGCAGCCAAGTCGCGGTGAATGACCTGCAAAAGTTTACAGCTTTAAATAAAACGATCCCTAGAAACTCGCAGTTACATTTCACTTAAATCTGAGTCTGGACGTATAACTGTAACGACAGCGTGAACTTTGGTCATTAAACCTTACCGAGTCAAGTCGAAAGATGTCGCCCATGTACAAAAACGTATGCGGTTTTTATCATCTGACAAACACAGTTACCAAATACTGTGAAGAATACAATTTCACCCACTAAACAGGATGTTTACCATTGTCTGTGACTGTTCATGCGCGTGAAATTTTACTTATCGAGTACTCCCTCTGAATTGCACCAGGTCAGGCGCTGCAAACACATTCTTAGAATGCCATTATTGTTCAAAATGGTTAAACTCTTAATTGCATATACTCTTGGACAAACTATTTTTAAACGTCAGGTATATTTTACGTGCATGTGTTGCACACGGCCAACATGCATGAAAATAAACACTTTCCGCAAACCTGTTACCGAGAAGTCTTTCCATGACTAAATTGCTTAGAGGCTTAGCCCTTGGTCCCTGTTCTTTTTGGACGGCAATCACAGCATTGATGCAAAGCTGCAGTAAATTTCTACACACCGAACTGTCAGCAAACGTAAGCATCGGCAGTACCATCTCTAAATAATATCGAGCACGACTTTTATACATGTAATGTCACTACAAGCGAACATGCAAAATTGTTCGTGTCGGTTATGCCTACCCCTGCTTTTGACAGATGCTCCATTCCCTTGGCAACATCCAGAGCAAACTTGACCAACTGTTCCGAAGACAAGGCATCCTCGTCTGAGTCTGACTGTGACCTGGCCGTCCGTAGGTAGCTACGCAGATCACCGTAAGGAAGATACTCCAAAGCAACATGCAGCACATCTGGGCATGCGCAGATCCAGACAAAAATTGTCTAATTTCTGGATGAGGAACTCAATTGCCATTTTCTCAGACATTTAAGTGGTTCAATTTGCTGTAAGTATTATTCCTGCCCAATTTAACTTGCGCTTACCGTGATGTTGGCAGGCACCGAGCAGTAATACGATATTAGGGTGGTAGCCGATACAGGCCATCGTCCAGAGCTCATCCATGAAATCGTCTCGGTCGCATGCGGACGCGTATCCTACAAGGTTGAGTGGGAAAATGCCCACACTAACAAACAAACTAGCAATACACTAAACAATGAACGTGCCACACTAGTCTCAATGTGAATATTGGTAGGATTAGTGTCAATGGATCAATCCAACGCCATTCGCATGCCTCACAATTCAAATTGTATTTTGCATCGTGTGTTCCGAAGACAAGGCGTCCTTATCTNCATTTGCTCAATTTAACTTACGCTTACCGTGATGTTGGCAGGCACCGAGCAGTAATACGATATTAGGGTGGTAGCCGATACAGGCCATCATCCTGAGCTCATCCATGAAATCGTCTCGGTCGCATGCGGACGCGTATCCTACAAGGTTGAGTGGGAAAATGCCCACACTTATAAACAACAAACCAGTAATACACTCAACAATGATCGTGCCACACAAGTCTCAATGTGGAAATGAATTTTCTTTAAATATTAGTAGGATTGGTGCAAATGGATCAATCCAACGCCATTCGCATGCCTCAAAATACAAATTGTATGCTCCGAAGACAAGGTGTCCTCATCTGACTCTCACTGTGAATGGGCCATCAGCAGGTAGCTGAGCAGATCACCGTAAGGAAGATATTCCAAAGCAGCATACAACATCTATGTACATGGGATACAAATTGTATTTTTAATTGGAAACAACTACCGGGGAGTGTTACCTTTTAGCATTTTGATAGCGGCCCTGGTCACTTCCCCGTCTTTTCTCACAGCACCCGAGCGCACCTCACCGAAGTTCCCACTTCCCAGCACTCGTTCATCGACGAAGAAGTCACTCCACGGAATTCCCCATCCCTGTGCCCAGGACGGTAGGCCGGAATCTTTGCTTTCCTCATCGGGTATTGCGTGTTGTTGCGCTAAGGTATTCTGGCAGGTGACTTCATCTTCAGGTGACGTGCCATCGGGTCCCGAATCACCGATTACCGACTCCTGCAATTCAAATGAGTCCCGACCAACAAGTTCCTCAAAGAAATATCTGCAAATAATCTTACTGTGTTTCATATAAAATGTTTTAGATCTTACCATTTCGACACTTTCATCCACATTCGATTTCATTTGGGCGCTTGTTCGCACCTCGTCGTTCTTCCTAGATCTTTTTGCACAAAGTACAAGAGCTGCAACTGCTGTGACCAACATTCCACTTAATACGCCAACAACAACAAAGAGTATCGTCATGTTGAGTGTGCTCGGCGGTTCTGAATCTGTTGGTGGAAGCCCAGTGGTTAGAATTGGATACTATATGCTTAATTACAACAATTTATAAGATGTACATGCTAGGCTTACAATGAACAGCGAGGAATTGCTGGGGAATGTAAACATGGAAAGGTTGTACACAAACATCTCAGCTCAATCTAGTCGCCATCTCTGAACTGTCGACAGGAAAGGGTCAGTGAGCTTATATCTCATTTTGATATCTTCATAATGATGGATACTAAAGTCTTCTTAACTTATTAACGTATTAATTATTAAACTTATTAATAAACATATTTCCTTAAGTTCTTACCGGAGCAATCTCGAAGTTCAACAGTGATTGCCAGCTCTTCTCCCCTCTGACCCCTTGCTTGGCAGGTGAGGCTTTTGATGAACGTTTCCCCTTGCCGGTTGGAAGCAGTGAAGCTGCTGAACAGGTCAACCCGTCCCGCCGTGCTTGGCGTCTGAACCACGGGGTTAGATTCTTCCCTTGCACCGTCAAGCACCCAAATGATTCCCCACTCGTTGGTTATCACTTGCTGTACCGTGCATCCAAACGTCCTTCCAGTGCCGGATGGAACGCAGATGGGTCCTGAAGAGCCATCAACAGACTCACCAGTAGAAAGATCCACGAGATCCATCGAAGCATTCGACACAGAGCCTATAGACAGATCCAAATGTTGTTAAAGGAAGCTCAATGCTTTTAATACACCAATACACGCTAGAATAGCCGGATACGTACTTGAGTCGTTGAGTCTCGGAGGCTGGTTGACGATAACCCCGGAGCAAGATCGAAGCTGCACGGTNCCTTACTGTGTTTAGTATAAAATGGTTTAGATCTTACCATCTCGACACTTTCATCCACATTCGATGTCATTTGGGCGCTTGTTCGCACCTCGTCGTTCTTCCTAGATCTTTTTTCACAAAGTACAAGAGCTGCAACTGCTGTGACCAAGATTCCACTTAATACGCCGACAACAACAAAGAGTATCGTCATGTTGAGTGTGCTCGCCGGTTCTGAATCTGTTGGTGGAAGCCCAGAGGTTAGAATTGGATACTATATGCTTAATTACAACAATTTTATAAGATGTACATGATAGGCTTACAATGAACTTACAACGATCCTAGTTGGTTCGTATGTAAACAACATTGTAATTTATCGTATAAGAGAACAGTATCTCCTACATCGTTGAAAGCACTGAAAAAATTCTCCGACACCCAGCCCCTCTTCCAGCATAAGCAAGCCACGACAAAAGTGAACTTGGTAGAGATATCAGAGGAGAATCTATTGACAAACGATTGTAAAAGGAATCTACTGTAACGGGAAGGTGAGTTTACTTTCCTATTTACAAATGGGCTCTACTCATTATCAGCTAATAATAAATCTACCAATAAGGAACTGACTTAACTACAAGAAGTTCGGGTTGTGGGTGATTTTCAAACTGCACAGAATCCCAGGACATCGAAAGAGCAACGCTTTGGACTTTGCCAAATCCACGTTTGTAAATGTTCATCATTCTCTTATCAATCTGAAAAGCGAGCCAATTTAAAAGCCACAAACGTAGATACAGTAGTGAGCCTCGGGCCTGAATCTGATAACGTCAAATTGTTGTTTGGAATCGGTCTCTGAGCTCTCCTGCCTCTGTGACAAATAATTTCTTTGTTCTCTCGATTCCACGCAACATTTGTGGCTCACTAAAAGCAAAACAAAGTGGCTTCAGAAAATATTTTGAAAACTACCGATCAAACTTTTAAATGTAACAGGTTCCTCTTACCTTGACACACATTGAACTTCACTGTCCTCGAAAGTAACTGTCTGTCATCAACACCCGCTCCCTGACAGGTAAGATTCCCCAAGAGCTCGGTTGGCGAACCCGACAAATTGATTATGCTACTGACGTTGACTAAACCACGTGTTCCTGTCTCCACTGAGCCGGTGACCACCGGCTGTCCATCGATGATCCACGAGATACCCCAGATGCCGGGTTGAGCGTCTCGGACGGTGCATTCGAAGGAGCGAGCAAAGCCAGGCTGGACGCATATGGGCCTGCTGTCAACCAGATTCCCCGTGAGGAGATCTCTCACGTCGACAGTTGTATCTGGTACTACGCACAAATAAAATTAAAGGATCCCTTAATTGTTATTTCTGTTGAAGCAACTGAAAAAAACACCCGGTTAAGATATTCGATCTCTCAGAACGTCATGACATGAAGAAACCCGGCCTTAAGCTGAAAAGGTCTGATTCAAACAAGCTTGTCTCGAAAGGAAACAATTCCTTATGAATTTTTATCTTATGAAATAATTTGATCGTCACTGTACATGTACATGGTGTATGTAGATGAGCATAGCTAAAGGTTAATAAACCTACCTGTTTCCTTTAAAAGTGATTGAGGCCCCATGAGGATCTCATGTAACTAAAGCTGGAAAAGATTTAGGTGTGGTCATGTCACTGGACCCCATTATCATTTGCAATGACCAATTATAATCGTGAACTATGGAATATGTTTATTCTTAGCCTGCTGCAGGGGCTCCCTAACGACTTATCGCGGTGTGGTCACCAGACTTCTCAAGACTCACGGGTATCAGAATGTAAAGGGGTCCTTGAATGAAGTTCTTCCTTACCCAGACAATCCTTGAGCTGCACTGTTCTGTTGAGCAATTGTCCATCAGCACCCGCTGCCTGGCAAGTAAGGTTCTCTGTGAATCCTGCGGATGACTGGGGCAACCTAAATCTACTGCTGACGTTGACTAGCCCACCCGTTCCTGTCTCCACTGAGCCGGTGACCACCGGCTGACCATCGATAATCCAGGAGATATCCCAAATGCCGGGTTGAGCGTATCGAACGGTGCATTCAAACGTGCGTGTAGAGCCCAGCTGGCTGCAGATCGGTTCGGAATCACGGTCAAAGAGACTCCCCGTGAAAAGATCTCTGACGTCAATAGTCGCCTCTGGCACTGCACGCATATAAACAGTGTAAACTAACTCGATTAATGATTTTCTTCAGTTTGAGGTGCAGTTGTTCTAGTCAAGCAAATAAAACAACCCGAACCATTCAAGCAAAGCGAGAGAGACATGTTATGGCAAAGGACTCAAAACACAAACATTTCACAAGAAAAGAAATGAGTAACCTCTGACAACTTTCCAAATGGGCCCTTGTCGGTCCAGTTCAGTTTGACTGTGAAGAGAGATTTTAATCCCTATAGGCCTACAGCCGAACACGGACAAGAAGAGCACTGTTTTCAATATTAGATCCAAAGTCCTTTGTGTTTCTTTGTTTTCCATAATTAACAATACAAGGTAGGCCTAACCATTATAACAAGGTAATTTTTAAAGTCCCAAGGACCTTGTTAGCATCGTTCCACCAGCTGTATACCCAGCCCTCCACACAGACCCAATAAACACATTTCAGCTCCTACTTTCCCATTATCAGCACTTCCTCGCCCAGTGTTGTACTTTGAACTGAGAGTTGAAAAAAGGGGATGAATGATTGGAAATTTCTATACAGTGTGTGAGCGAGACGTTTGGGGGTTTTCTTTCCCTCATTTTATGCAACTAATTCTGTTGATCATTCATAATGCCGTTTGGGATTCCGTGATCCCCCAACACAATACTAACTCGACTACCACATCACATTGTGAAGCCGATAAAATAACAAAAAGCATTTTTATATCATATCCCCTGCCATCGTTGTATACCTGAAAGGTCGCCACCGTTTATGATATTTTTACAAACATTTCCTTCTGCGAATCATCAAATGTAAAACCAGGAAAAGTAATGTTACAATGCTTGATCCTAAACGTCTGTCTGTGCCATACGATAGCCTAACACACAGTAGTTGACATTTTACTTGATTAAAACGGAAAGCTAAATCCTAGTCAAGGTGTCCTTAGTTTCTGTGCAACAGGAAATTCCCATTTGCAAATAAAACTTTTCAAAAGCGCTTGTGACATTGTAGTTTAATAAACTGTCCACCCCGAACACTGACTTATATGATCGTTATGAGAATACTTGCTTTGATACATTTGATATTTGATGCGTCGCTCTCTTCCCCCCTCTCCCCCGTACGATTCGTACAGCCTCCAGCTTTTCCTGATTTGTTTGACAGGATGTTTTCTAAGCCCACATTTTGTCCAACTGAAAAGCTAGAATGTTTGTCCAAACTGTATCTGCACAGGCCCATTGTGTATAAGCTTCGTTTTGAGTTTTAACGAAAAACCTCCACATGTATGTGTTTACGAGTAGACTGGTAATCCTAAGAACACTATATACTGAAAGCGTACCTGCTATTTCAAACAGTAGGGTTTTTGTACGTGTTCCAAGGTAAAGTAGGGTGCAGACGTAGCGATGCTGCATTGCTGTTCCATTAGCCACGATGGTGTAGTTGCAGTACTCGCTGAAACCATCTCGATGGAGGGTCGGTGGGAACTGACAGGACTTCACCGTTTTACCCAAGTATTTCCAAAACACGTGAACCATTGGCCCACCTTCTCTTAAGTGACCAGTCACCAAACAAGAGAAAGCCACACGCTCACCGACTGAAGCCACATATTTCTCTGTTGGGTAAAGCCTTACCGTGACGGTGGATTTCCCGTCACCTCAAAAGGAAAACATGACAGGAAAACTCAATCCAAACGCTACTTTCTAGACCTATACACAGATATCTGTGTATCTGGCAGCAAGTCATCACAAAATATAAACCTACTTGTTGACAAGAAGGTCAATTATTCTGCATCAAAATTTGATGTCTTCAGTCATTCATTTTACAGATTCAATCGTTCAGTTTCGTGATGATCGCCATGTTGAATTTTCGGTGTTTTGGACGTCATTTTTTGTTTTGCCTTGCGTTCCTGGAATTTCATGCGAAAGGATTTGTATGATAAAATTTTGCATTTAATGCATTTAATTGAATGACCACTGCAAGAGCGCCCAGACGTTGACCGGTAACTTGTCTTTCATACCACTGACTAAACTGAATGATTAAATCGGTAAAATGAAAAAAAAAAAAAAAAAAAAAACGAATTAAATTTCCATTCCTGAAGTGAAACGAAAACTACTTTTTATAGGATGAATAGAATGACTTTTTTGGTGAATTACAATTTTCAAAAAGTGAAATATATGGTGGGGTTATTTCGAAATTGGAATTGCCATTCGGGGAGAGTGACCGCTTTTTGACAAAATGTAACATTCTTTTAAACAAATTTAGATGAAATAAGTGCAAAATGAAGTGGGAAAACTCGTTTGTATATTCAGTACACCTTGGACTAACACTGTTTTCTTTTTCTCCGATCTTGGTCAATTATACAATGGAGGATCCGAGGGAAGGCACGTTATAGCGCTCATATAGTAATCCGATCGCCCTTTGCGCGTTTGTGCAGCATTTAAAATTGGTTCTATTTGCTTCTAATTAGTTTGTCATCATTTTTGCAACGGAACAAGTTACGTTTGTAATTCCTGCCGACATGCATAAGAAGTAATGCTACAAAGTCAGTCACACTTCAAATGTGAGACTCGAATATTTCGCACATAACCGCGGTCTGTGATAAGTTCATACATTCACCTTACAGCATTTTGAGCAAAGCAGTAAATTTCACTTAGTCTTTTAATCGTCAGACTTTAAAGAGTTACAAGTGCAAAACATTCGGGTTGGCCTACTTCAACGCATACACCCCTTGATTTGTTTCTCGGATGAACAATCATCGACCAACAGTTCTAATACTCTTACCTTTTGAAAGCTGAAATGTAAGTATGAGGAAAATAAGCCAAAGGGACTTGCTTGTACAGGTGTCCCTCAAACGGAGATAGATTCGAAAAGACATCGTAACTTGCGTGGTTGCAGTTAAAACTAAATTGTAATCCAAATTTCATCATTCACAATACATTTCCTGAAGTTTGCACAGTTCCGTTCTCTTTTTGGCTGTTGTAGTAGAAACTCCATTTTCGGTTGGGTTCAAAACCTAATACCTCTGAACTTTCACCAGTCGAGAGTGCATTGAATTAGGCAAACAATGACAATCTTTCAAAACGGAGATGGGTTGAGGACGTTATGAACTTTCTTCATAATGTTCAGCAATGAAGCCGGTGCATTCCCACTGCATCACGTGAATGGATGATAAATGCTGCATTCATTTTATCCATAAATCGAATCAATCCATCGTCATTAGTAGTTTTTCTTCAGCATTGCCTGCTTATCTAATCACAAATGGATTCAAAGCATAATGTAATAAAGGGGGTAAGAAAGCTCGTATGAACAGAAAAGTGGCTTTTCATTATTTTGAAAGGTCGCAAGTCACTCAAGGCTGCAAAAATGACTGTGATGGCCTTGAAGTGATAGACGAATAAGTTTCAATCTCCAATTTTGATTGGCCAACACCAGCTCAGGGTCAGGTCGAAACCAGCTTAAGGGGTGCACCACTACAAATAAATTCCCATAGACTGCAATGATAAATCCCCACACTTTGCAATAATTTTAAAAATGCTCACAACTCTCACAGGTGTCCAGGCTGCACAGGAATACAATGATCGACATGTCCCCTTTCATTTTCCTTTCAATTTTCGGGGGGTTGACCAATGAATTTTTGAGAAATTTTCACCAGAAGCAGACCACCCCTAAAATGAAGAAAATGTCCCTGCCCAGAAAAGTAGTACAAAACGGCCAAATAGTGCCATTTTCGGACCCAACTGCATCCAAATTACTCAGAATTTGAAGCCCAGAGTCCGGGCCAGGGGTTCAGTGCCATATTTCTCCAATTCCTCAATTTCATGGCTCTCAGGACTCTCTGTGATTGTATAACTTTTATTAATGAGCTCGGCGGACATATTTAGGGCTTTTTTGCGAGGGTGCACCCTTAATTCGTACTCCTCTTCAACGGGATTGCTCTCAATGCATTACATTTATGCATTGAGAATCTCAAAAGATTCAGCGTCAGAGTTTATTCCTCTGTATTCGTTCGTAATCTTCAATGCTGTGAGCTTTCCTTTACCAGTGGCAGAAAAGGGCTGCTGGGGCGAGAGTGTCCGCCACTATCGCCTAGTCTAAAAGACTTTGACTTTGGCCCTCAATATACATGGCCGGATATTACAACAGCTTTTCAAACAGACGCATGCATGCACATGTACCTTTAAGTGCAAATACGCTCGTATTACATTCATGGGCGGATCTGAGGGAGATACTGGTTCACGGGAGCATAGTGCAGTCCACAAAGGAACCAAAAAGGGGATTATTTGGCTCCCAAAATGGTGAGATTGTGTAAATCGTTGCCAGGATCAACTCCCTGGGTCTTTGAACTTTCATATAAAAGCAGAACTTTTGGCAAAAACTACGGTTGAAAAATGGTCCAAAGTGCCCTAGAGTTGAGGGTTGACTGCAATCAGACTTCGGAAAAATCACTTTTCGGGGGTTGATTTTGTTTTGTGGGAATAATTAAAAATGTAATCGGTTAACCCACAAAAAATTGACAGATTAAGGAGCAGACAATAATATAATTTTGGTTTAAGAAATCTCAGGGATGTTTCAATGGGGTTTGAATTGGTGGACTGTACCCAAAAGGCCTTGGGGAAATGAGACAAATCCCAATATTGGTGGCGCTACAGGCGAACGTGATGAAAATCACTGTAGGGTGCGTTCCACCAAATCGTTGTATTTCTGCGCGCGAGCTCATTAATATTTTGTGATCCCGCGGGATTTTTTTTCAATTAACAGGCCGTAATTAGGAGGCATCGTAGAAACGTTTCTATAAATCCCGAATGTGGGACTGATATTTTCCAGTTCGGGGCATTTCTTTCACCAAAAGCCATACTGCGGACCTATTTTGGATAGAGGCGGGAGGCTATATTCAGAAATGAGCGCTTAGGTTTACTGCTATTTTGGGGGTATCTTCGTTCAAAGGTGAATAAAAAAAATCGTGGCTAACCCCCACGAAATTGAAATG